TGACACTATGGGCCTCACTTCTGCCGCTTCGTCGTCACCTACCACGTTGTGCACATTAAGTTCGTCCTGATCTCTCATGTCTTGTGCCAGAGCGCACCCAACGCCTTCACTAGCTGTCCCATCAATACCATCGGTTGTTCCGCTTCGTGTCGTGCTTAAATCATCACCAGCCGTCGAAATCCTGGGGTCAGTCGTGACTTCCGCCTCTTTTACTGTCCCGTCGTCATTAGTAGCTGTGTCCTCGCATGCCACATCACTTATAGGAACCGTAGTTGCCATCCGACGCGTTTTTCGTCTTCGCCCTATCGCTGCTAACACTTTCGATGCCACTGGAGCTCGGGAGAGTGCATCCGCGACTACGTTCGTGCTCCCTGGTCGATATTCAACTTCAAAGTCGTACTCCTGTAGTGTCAATGCCCATCGATGCAATTTACCCGTCAAGTTCGAGCTCGTCATTAGCCATTTGAGTGCAGCGTGATCCGTCACTATAGTAAAACGTCTACCATAGAGATAGGGTCTGAACAGTTTTATAGACCATACGACAGCTAAACACTCCAACTCAGTAATGCCGTAATTCGCTTCCGTAGTGCTGTTGACCTTACTAGCGTACGCCACCGGTTGTAAGCCATTGCCGTGATCTTGCATAAGGCAAGCTCCAAGCCCCACTTTACTCGCATCCGTAACAAGCCTGAATGGTAGCCGAAAATTAGGGTAGATTAGCAAAGGTTTTGTCGTCAATACAGCTTTAACATGTTCAAACGCCGCTTGTTGTGCTTCAGTTCATTCCCACTCCGAGTCCTTGCGTAGTAACTTCGTCATTGGTGCCATTAACGAACCGAATCCTTCTACAAATCGACGATAATAGCCTGCTAAATGCACGAAACGTTTCACTTCTACTGCATTCTTGGGTCGTGGAAATTCGCGCACCGCTGATACTAGTCGTTCCAACGGTCTCACACCATCCGAATTCAGCTGATGCCCCAAGTACTCCATCGTCGTCGTCGCAAAAACACACTTCTTGAGCTTCAATGTGAGCCCAGCCGTCGCGAATCGCTCCAGTACGCACGCTAACTCCAATACATGACGCTCGATGCCTCCTCTAGTGTAGATCACCACGTCGTCAAGGTATACGAGGCAGGTACTCCACGTTAATCCTCGCAGTACGCTGTTCATCATTCTCTGGAATGTCGCCGGCGCGTTAGTCAATCCAAACGGCATTCTGACGAACTGGTAAAGGCCCTTCTTGGTCATGAACGCAGTCTTGGCCTTATCCCCAGCCGACATCCTTATCTGTCAGTAGCCTGCTTTTAAGTCTAGCGTGCTAAACAATAATGAACCACCCAACGCTTCCAAAGTCTCATCAATTCGCGGCAATGGGTAGACATCTTTCTTCGTTACACGGTTCAATGCACGGTAATCCACACAGAAACGAACTTC